ATGTAATCCCATCTGTGTGCATGTGTTTTCTTCCCTGTCTGTTAAGCAGTTTTAGCAGTTTTTTTTCTGAGAGTTTTCAACTCTCTCTCAGATAAAAGATTAACCGACTCCCTCAGGTGGCTTCACTTCCTGCATCTGATTTCTGTGCTTCTGTGCAACAGACGCCTGGCCAAGTCCACCCTCCTCCTCATCCCTTTGTTTGGAACCCACTACATGTTCTTCAATTTTCTGCCTGACTACTTCAACATTAASCTGCGCCTCTGCATCGAGCTCTGCATGGGKTCCTTCCAGGTACAAGCATTACTCAGGAGTACAAGCACAGCACCCACTCTCCAAATTCAGTCTCATTTACTAACAAGCTCCTAAATTACTAGTTTTGTGCAGAAAATACTGAAATTATTCAACTGATATTTTTGCCACATAACACATAAAACACTCTCTGTGAAAAGAGTTTTTAACTTTTTTAGCTTTTTGTTGTTTTATTTTTGTTGGATCTAACCTCACCTTCATAATTAGTTCCAATTATTTCTATCAAAGAGAAATTTCTTTGTCCATTTAGGAAGATGTTTTAACAGAGTCTCCTCTTAAATGTGGGGTACCTCAAAGCTCTGTTTTAGGCCCATATTCTTCAAAGAAAAAAACCTTAGTGGTGGCTAGTAATCTGTGAAACAGTTGAAAATTGATACACTGTTCAAACCATTTATCATTTTAAAACTGATCATGATTGTTTTTACATGTGCTCTAAATCAATCAAGAGTAAGATTAGTCAATAATGGGCACAGCAGGAAGCGCGTCAAGAGCCCCATCTCCCCCTCCTCTGCCAGTCTCTGTTTAATGTCAGGTGAAATAAAGAAAGTCACGCTCTCCAGATAATTCATTCATGATAAATTCACCAGATAATTTAGAGACATTCAGATTTGGTGAGTTTTACCACACAGGAGCTGCGAGCTGACGAGGCTCGCTTTCAGAGCCATTTTTGTCCCGAGCTCAGTTTGATGAGCCACTGACCCACATTGGTGCTGATATCTCCTGCCAGGACACCGACTACAGGCACTCGATTTTAGCTAAGCGCTCCTGTCCATGTTCCACAGGTTAGTGGACATCATTCAGGAAACTGTCTCATCAGAAAATGTGTCACTACGTCACACAGTGGAGTCTCTCTGGTTGGTTGACCGCTCCGCATCAAGCTGCAAAATTTCAGATTTTCTAACTCAAGTGTTCGACGTGCTTGACGRGAAACATGCAAAATGCGTATAAAATATTTAGTGTTTATGTAGATGCAGTATAGTCCTGTTAGCTCAACTTAAAGTTGACAAAACCTAATTTAGCAGAAGCTAATTGATCAGCTAACAGAATTCAAAGTTAGTGTAAAAGCTAATCTGCTAAATGGACAAGTTAGTTCCTCTAATAGCTGTTAGCTGATCACTGGAACCATGCCCAACACTGAGATTAGTTTATGCTAAAAGCCAAGAAAAGAAAAAAATTCAGCTTTCACATTTTTATACGCATTTCATGTATTTGTGTGATTTAAATTAAACACTTGCTTGCAAAGATACACAACTATGCATTGTTTTGGCAGTAGCAAGACAAATGAATTTGTGTAAAGTGTGTTTTCATCAGACAAGCTGCTATAGAAAAGTCTTAAGTTAATGTCAGATAAGAAATTGCATTTTCTTTTAGTCCGTGCTCATTCCTGCTGAGATTTAAACAATTAGGCAGGTGTTTAACAAAGACCGTATTTTTTATTTATGGGATTTTTTTTATAAAAAATTAAATAAAAGCTGCAGAATCACAGATTTTACCTATTTTTTCACAGAGGTGTGTGTGTGTATGAAAACTGAAACAAACATGTTTTAATTTCTCATTGTTTCTCATTGTATTCCTACTTTCAGGGGCTTCTTGTTGCAGTTCTCTACTGCTTCCTCAATCAAGAGGTGAGTGCAAACCTCACTGTTCTCAAGCATGGTCCATAACATATTCAACACTACCCACAGATCATTTACAGGTCTCTGCTGTGTAACAAACCTGCTCAGAAGGATCACGGGTCAGTGAGGTGTTAAATTGTCAGGGTTTAAAGTACAGAAACAATCTCCCCGTTCTTCTTCCCTCATCGCATAAAGAAAGAACCCAGAGCACTTATATAATCAAGATTAATGCAGGACCAAGCTGACATCAGTCCGTCTCAGCTTAAGCCTTCCTATGCAAAGCACACAGATCAGTGTGTAGACATGCCGTCATTATATATTTTCAGGCAAACGTTCAGATGTTTTTTTAATATCCATGGTTTGAGGAAAAAAATTCTGACTGAAGTGATGAGCTAACAGAAAATCAGAACAAAACTTATCAGAGAAACATAATATAAAAGAGCTGAACTACCTTTTTTAAGTTCGTATATGTTCACATGGATTACTGTCTTGTAGAAAATACTGAGTTATAATGATTTTATTTTGTATGTTTTAGATTGTATAAATATATATTTTTTGTTTGTGTCAGAAATTTTCTTATAATCCAAAGGGGGGTCCGGCAGAAACAGTCTGGGAACCACTGCACTAAACCGAGTTGAGTAAATGTAAAGCAGTCTACTCAACCCAGTTTACTGGAACCAGTTGACATAAACTTGGTTATGGCCCTGTCACACTATAATGTTTTAGACAACTTGTAAACATTTTGTTTGACTTTGAAGAGGTCTATGCTAAAGATGGAATAAAAAAATCAGCTGGAAGCCTCTTATGGATGTATACATACTGCAATGCTAATGATTAGATCAAATTTATAACCTATGTTATTTAGTCATAAAATAATTCACAAGTTGTCTAAAAAATTATAGTGTGACAGAACCTTTAAGCAAATNATTTTAACTACATTCACATTATTTTTTTAATCAAATTGCAATGTATCATTAAAAACAAACATTTAGTTCTCTCTATTTTTAAATATCTAAAAAAATTTTGATCTTATTTTGTAACCCAGATAATGAATGACGTAGAGTCCAACACTGGCGGCGTCTTCATATAAAAATATAATAATTTACTTTGGAAACGCCTAGTTTGTCTGCAGAGATATCTATTTGCCGATTTTGGCAGTTCGGTTGCAGCATACGACTACTACGGGCTTTAGAGAGAGTTCATTATTTTGACAGCTAAAAACCTGCATGCCTAAAATTGGGAGGAGTTTTTATAGTAAAATGCAGAAATGATTCAAAGATTCAATGTGTTTATTGTCATATGCACAGATGAAAGACATGTTTCCCTGAGCAATGAAATGCCCCAAAATGTTTATTTTTGCAGAGATTTTGTGTTCAAACTTCAGGATTTTTAAGTTTAATAGCCTCTAATTATGATTCTGCCAACTGTGTGTGTCTTGYTTAGATCTCACTGATGTTAATTCGGCTTTCCGCTCTCTCCACAGGTGTGCCTGTCTTCTTTATAGTTCTGTGGATTGGATCCAGGGTGTACTTTGAAGACACCGAGTCTGTGAAACATACATAAACTTTTTTTTACTCATAATCTCCTCCAGTCGACACTGTGTGGAAAATACACTCAAAGCTGTTAAAAGATAGAATCATAGTGAAGAGCTTTATAAGGTTTGAATTAGTCACTAGAGGGGTTTGAAAACTCGCTAAATTTAGCAAGAAAGCCGGTTTTATCCAATTCAAATTTAAACTAATRTTTACTCTATTTTATACTTTTCAGTATATTATTCATGACCAACATCATGAAAAGCAGGCATTTATGTAATCCCATCTATGTGCATGTGTTTTCTTCCCTGTCTGTTAAGCAGTTTTAGCAGTTTTTTTCCTGAGAGTTTTCAACTCTCAGAAAACAATTCTACAAATGATTTTTCGGAGTAAACCCAGTTCAAGATGGCCACTACAGCTAATTGTTTTTGGGAAACATATAAAATGGTTATAACTCTGTTTAACAGTTATTGGGCTAAAACTAGCTGAGAGTCATCCACCAGTAACAGATTGCACAATATTATTCAATATTTTGTCATGTACGGTGGTGGCATTAATTTCTTTAAGGAAAACAGTTTTGTTTTATCCTAATAAACCTTTCTCAACCAGGAATCAGAAAAAATCGTTTTAATATGTCAAAAAATATGTTTATGCAGATGCTGGGACATCAACGAAGACTCACCCTACTGGTGGATCATCAAGGGACCGATTGTTGTCTCCATAGCGGTAAACACTCCCATTGTGCAAAGCAAAACAAAAAAAGGCAAACGTTTTGCACCAAGTACAGAGTGGATTATCCTGTAAAATATGCGCACCTTCATTTTTCAAGACTTAATTGGGAAAACTTTTGTGTGCCGTCAGAACCGAGAGCCAAAAACCCATCGCACACCAGTCCAAGTCAATTACATACTTGGCTGCACGCAGTGTCGCCGTGATGCTTAGCAATCATGTTGAGTATTTTCTACTGTTTCCTGTCTATCAGAACATTAATGCAATTTCTGTCTTTCTTTTTGTCACCAGGTGAATTTTATGCTCTTTGTAAATATAATCAGAATCCTGATCCAGAAGCTCAACCCTCGGCTGATCCAGTTCAATAACTCCTCGCAGTACAGGTACAGCAGTCGTTAAGTCTCAGATGTACTGACGACGATGCAGTTTTCTATTTGTTTATTGTATCTAAAGTTCAAATGATAAGCTGAATGAAGAAGTCTTTGAAAAGTTTCATATGAAAATGCCCTTTGTGTGCAGCCTAAATGCCCCGAGATTTGTTTTTTTACATTTTAGATTCCATTTTTCAAGACAAAGTCTTAGATTTTTCCGAGTCTCGTCTCTGTGACTTATTTGTGTTGAGCTCTTAAGCTTTCTCCTACCTGATGACTGACACTTTTTCTGATGCTTTTTAACTCAGAGTAGACGCTTTGATGTTGAAAGATGCAGGAAGTGCAAAAACAGTTGATACACCTCAGCGTGCGTTGAATAATTCATTTAGACTAAGCTGAACAACAGCCTGCTCAATCTGACCACGTCTACTTTCCCTCCCTCCAAGAGACTTATCAGAATTTCTAATTGAAATAGGCTCACTAATAGACTGAGAGTGCTGTGGCACGTCAAGTATTCTGGACCTCATAAAAGGCATATTGAGTTAAGTAGGAAGAGGCTTGACTTAACTGCACCAGGTAGTTTGTATGTGTGTGTAAGACAGTTACACACACGCACGCACGCACGCACGCACGCACGCACGCACACACGCACACACACACAAGTGTCCTCCTGGCTCACACCTCATCAGCAGCGCGCCTGTTTGCATCAGACAATCAGCAACAGCATTCAGATGAGACCGGCACACTAACCGACTCCCTCAGGTGGCTTCACTTCCTGCATCTGATTTCTGTGCTTCTGTGCAACAGACGCCTGGCCAAGTCCACCCTCCTCCTCATCCC